ATGTCATATTCGTAATCAGGATGTTAAACTACCCCTATATACAAGTTTTTAGCGGATTTGGTGACTTAGGCAATTTAAAAATGAGCTCGTGCGAAATTGCTGGAGTCCAAACATCATCAGCCGCTGTGATGCCCTGTCGAGTTTGACGCAGTTTTTGTGCTCGCCCTTAGATGATCAAACTTACATCATTTATTACCTTGAACATTCACACTGCCTTGCCTTGCCTGACTAATTTTGAAATGCAGAATATCATTGAGCACTGGAATTGCGCTTCCCGCCACAGTTATTAAGGAAACATAGATTATCGTCCATTATTGCTGTTCGTTATTATTATTACTATTACTCCACCATTATTGCCCGTACCTCTTCATGTATCGAAAACCAAGCTTTACCGAACTTTCAGTGTTCATTGATGACTATACGAAGTCTCCGCCCTGTCGTCTGCCGGTTCCTACAAGGCTGATTCGTACGCGCAACACATGTGTAGCAGGTAAGAAAGCCTTCACTCGTCGTTCTTCTATCACATCTCGCTAGTTTCCTTGTTTCACATCTTGGTGGAAATGTGCTATACCGTAAGCGATCAACCGTATCAATAAAATTGCATCATCGCCGGGTCGAAGCAACGTCAAAACGCATACTGCCATGTGGAGTGAGCTTCATACTCTCATTTCTGATAACGCGTACGAGAAGAGTAGAGTGCCCTACATCCCGCGCGGGTGGGCGACTTCTAAGAGTGCGGCTGGCCACGCCGCCGCACGCCTAACCATAGCCAAACGCTTCACTTGTCTGCGCTCTCTCACTCTTGGTTGTTCTCTACCGCTAATGCTGCAACTAACTACTGCAACTGCGGGACCTATTCGCCTCGCGCATGGCAAGGACCGTCATCGGAAAAGACTGCAGTTCGTCTTTGATGCCTAGACGGGTGCCCATCCTTTGGGCAGCTTTCAAATACTATTAGGTCATCCCATTTAAAAGTGCGGAAGGTTTTGTTCATATAAAACGAAGGGAAAACCAGATGAAAAACTAATTTTTCGCTTTGAGTTAAGTAGATCCCTCCTTCACCAATGACCCGCTCCCAGTGCCCCGAAAGCGTTTGGACCTCTGGTACCTTCGTTTTTTCAACAAGTGCGAGTAAATTGCTGTTGATGCCAATTTCGGCGAATGACAAAACGCTTGTAGCGTTTGCCGTCGGACAGTACCTCGACTGACCAGAACAGTTGAAATCGCGCGGCCTCGTGTTCGGCGAATGGGGTGATTGAACCCAAGTATCAGTATTGTTTCTGTCCCAGCACTACAACACTTACACTTACTACAACACTTACTCGGTGTCTGGCACTATGATGAGCAACGATGGCCTTTTTTAGTTGTGTGGTACCATCCGTTTGTCGATCTGATTTTCGAAAAGCATACGTCGTCAGTGACGATTTTCTACCCTGTATAGAGCCGCTTGAAACCAACAGTGCAGAAATCCTTCATGATGGTGATCATCCACTTGGGCTCACGTAATTCTTCATGGCAGAATTCAAGGCGGCTTCTCATCTGCATTCATAGCAAATTGACGCTCGGGAGTTTCGGTTCGCAGTTTGAGACCACCCATATTTCATCTAGGGCCGGGAGGCCTAGATGAATGCATCTTCAGCAGTGCGCGAGACATCTTATTCAGAGACAAGCTACTGGCTTCAGGGATAAAATCGGTATACTACGTTTCGTTCCTCTAACAAGGAATTAGGTACACCGAAAACCCTCTTGACGCACACCCCCTTGACCACCCTTAATTTATCGGACATGACTCAGGCAGCAATTGAAATAGGTGTGTCAATCTCGCGGGAAAGATCGGAAGGGTCAGCCTGTGCCGGAAGGGGCCTCAAGTCTTGACTTCATGCCACTCGCTTTTTTGCTGGCAGCAATCTAAACATTGTGGAACCATCCAGACAACAAATTTTTTCCTTTATTCCATCTTTCGGCTTCCTGAACCAAATCTTCTACCTTGCATTCCGAGAACACCTTTACGACGGAACTACGCATCTGTCACTGGTCAGATTTTCAGCAGCTTCTCCTTTTATGATGCCTGATTCGAAAACCCGGCGCTGATTTTCACTACTAGGGCTTTCGTTTCAACTACTCGAGAACTTCTTCTGTGGGTAGGTTCGCCAAATTTCACAGATACATAGCTAAAGATGCTAGCTTCCAGGTGATACTAGCCCGTTGCCCTATCCCCCTTTGCTTTCCTGCCGCGGCATTTAAGAGAATAAAACGGCATCCGATCTCATTTTGAAGCTGACGTTGATGATCGCAAGAGTTGAGGTTACAGAGCTCGAGTCGTAAGAATGTAGTAGTCAGCTTCAAGATACTGTAGTTCCCTATCCGGAGCCACAAATTCTGGGAACAGTAAAGAGTCTTGCCAATTACTGGGTGTCTGTGCAGGGCCCATCGCGCTGAGAATAATCAACAGCCGGTGGTTCCAATAAGGTCATGCGCTGTACGCCCCAAAGATGGACTGTGTGATGAGTATGGTGAAGTGTCTTCAATGCCTTCAGATGTTATTGTCTGAAGCAGTCGGATTGCCCAGCTGTCGCCGTGCTCCTCCTTCCATGTCACGCCTGGCTTCGCGAGGAGCCCTTCCCTTAGACGAACTATAATAGAGTGCGCGAAATGTGTAAAATGCGCACAAAGCCTTCTCTGAAGAGAGCAGAAAAACAAGTTGGAAAAACTTTACCAACGCTATCATTCTAGCCCCTTGCCAATTCTTGACTTCTTATCGTGAGAAGGCTGCACCATTCAGTTAATGACCGCAGTTCCGACATGAGAATGGATTAAAGTTCAGTCAATCCGGATGAGCAGTGTAACATACAGCGCCTTGTTACCTCTGGAAGGCAGATTTGTGGAGCCATGGGCGGTCATGAAAGGAGAACTTCACTTTGCTTTGTTCATGTCAAAGTGCCCGTCCACGGGGAACCTGCGCCAACAGGACGTCCTCACTCTGAAACCGTTGGTTTCTCTCCTTTTTTTGGTTCGGCTGCGACGTACAGCCCACAACCCATCATCGTTATAGAACACAGCAGGCAAACCGCAGGAAAAGTTCCCCTTCCCACGCTTGACATCTTTGCATCCAAGAGCACACAGTTCACTGTGTGGTTATGATCCTGTTGACATCGTAATGGTTGAAGGAGAGAGTTCACACACAGAGCACATGATTCTTTACAGAATAGTGGTAAGAAGTAGTACGAAATGCAGTGAAGTGATTCTATCTAGTCTTATCAATTGGTATCATCACTTGTCACCCGTCATCAGTGTGCCTATCGCTAAATCTCTATAATTTGGGGTGGAAAAGCTCCACCACGTTGAACAGAGACGACAACTGCAACGTCCTTAATCAGCCCCTATCAGCTCATATCGCTGTCTGTCACCACCGTTGATGTCCCCATCTCATTCTCTATACAATTTGCTGGAACGAATGCCTCGTTGATACTGTGACACGCGCCGTGAATACATTGACCTTACCATTCTGATGCTCCCTATCACATCTTATCAGCTGTGATAACGTTCTGTCACCCATCAATACCATTTCCGTTCCACCCTCCGTATAACGATTCAGAACTCGCTCTTTACATTTTGGGCAGACAGACAGACAGACTTAACAAACTATATGTCGTAGGCATCGCTGGAAACTGAATTAATATTCGCGAAATGGTAAGTGATGAGCTTACCACGTGCACCAACATGGGGTCAAATCTCCGATCGGTTCCTGCTCAGGGAATCCAAGTTCTCTACCCTTTAAAGATGGTGAACTAGTGCCAGATTTGTCTGGGAGGATACGGACACTACCTTATGCCTCGGCTGCCCCCCAGCTCGCCCCTCAGTCATTTAAGTCACATTGCATCAAAGCGGTATGATTGCGAATGAAGGTAGAGTGCGTGCCGCATCCTAGAAAGAGATTCATTAACGATGAGAGCTTTGTCTCCTAATTTGATACTTTACAACTCTCCTTCCGTAATGAGTTAGCGAGCACCGATTTTGTGGAAGCTCCACGTCTCTGCTGTATTTAGAATTAATTATTCCAATACATGGCGAATACCTACAGATCCGAGAGGTTCTTACTGGTTTGCTGAATCTGTTTCACACCATTTACGAAGAAGAAGGCGAAAATTTATTTTTTAATATCAACGGGGAAAACGAGGAATCAGAGCCAATCTGAAATCCCGGTGGGTACATTGCAGAGAAGGTCGTCGCATGTGGGTTGGTACACCAAGGTGTTTGCCAGACGTCGTTCTTCCAATTGCAGCCCGCAAAGTCTGGGTTCGCGTCTCCCACTTGGTACAGCTTTGCGTGGTCAGGAACTCTGAAATAGAAGATATGACGGATCAACAATCATCCATTGAAAACTGCACCACGGGATGTACTTTGTTTGTAGATGCAAATAAGCAATGCTCTCGTCTTATCCGTTTGTGCGCATCTCATATGCCACCGACTTGGTAAATTATCATAGGCCATCTAAAAATCAACGTTCGGTTGAATGGACAAAAGCAACGGGTCTAGATAAGTAACTTACATTGGCGAAAGTGTACAGACTGCTGTTACTGTACAAACTCTCGTTGAAACTAACATCATCGTTCATGGGATAATAATCGGTTGGCAGGAGCCAATCATCTATTGCTGCACTTATGAAGTTATACTTTCGCATTCTAACTCGCTTGGCTTTGGTTGTACTGCTTCGCGGTCAGTACCACTGAAAATGCCCGGTGCCCCTATCATAGAGCTTGTTATAGCATCAACACAATCACGCTATTTACTTACAAGTATACGTTTTTCCAAAGCGTCAATTGCCTCTTGCATAGCACAGTCTTTTCGTCAGCTCCTCCTTTGCTCAAGGGTGCAGTCCATCCTCTAAAAAATTATGAGAAGTGATCGAGTATCATATTCAATATATGACAATTTAGCTAGCTTACTATGGCTGGAATCAATGATGCTGCGTCACAAACTTTTTGATTCGAAGTTTTTTTCCTGTTTATGATCGTTGACTGTTACAGGAGTTTAACTATTGTAGAGCAGTTTCTTAAGGACTTCTTAGTCCAGTTGGAGGCGCCTGCTATGGTTTTTAGATGCCTAAGGTACGTATAATTTGGTTTACTAAAACGGTAGTGAAGGTGCTGAATACTGGGTAAAAAGAGAGAAAAAGCACGGTGGACCAAAACCCAGCGGAGTAGTCCCAAGCTTACCCGATGGCCCAAGTTTCTAAGGCTTACAGGAGCTCGTCCAGACAAGTTCACCCCTTGCTTCTTGCAGGCAGTCGGTCAGCAGATAAGGAGGTTGCATGTTGCATTTATGGAAGCCGGTCACGGTCAGTGAAGGATTCTACACATCGTCTGCCCAGATGGATGGCTTCCCTTCATGTTAGGCACTTTTATCCGCGCATATAGTTTTTCACGCCTTTGCTCTAAGCAACCTTGTGACGTCCATCATTGCTATTTTACCATTTCACGATTCCTAGAGGATGTGTCATGCCATAAGCTTCCTATCAAATGTGAATTGTCGAGTAAAGCACTTTTTGACTAAGCTCGAACTTACTATTTTGAATAAATTTTTAGCGGGTGGAAGGAAGCCAAAATCATAGCCTGGCGACTCTCCCAGAGCAAGTACATTTCGAGTTCCTTCGTGGTAATATAGGATCTTGTAGCGAGTGTTGTCGTCCATGAGAGGGCCGCGGTTCTCGCAGGACTCTGCAAGAATCGAAAGTTGCATAATAATTGTATGAGGAGGTATGTTCACATGAAAAACCGTTTGCCTCAGTATCTCTATACATTGAGGGTCGCTAGGTCGCTGCAGTAAATGTCCAGCCCTTTAATGTGGAGGGATATACAAGTCATTTCTGATCGCGTCATCCCTTTTACTTCGATGAGCTTTCCGAGCCAAAGGCTCCTTCTCTGACTAGCAACCAAACACGCTCCTGAAGTGGGTTCCGTAAAGACAATATTACGCTTACGGCTTCGCCTACATTACTTTAATGGGGGAGGGGTGGAGAGGTGAAGGGGTGTTGATTGAAGCCACCAGCCATCGCCATCAGCTTTCGGGTTCAGGATGGTATGTTTGGTGAAGAAAATCACCCTGGTTATGTCCCAATCCACGTCCTCTCACATTCCGTCCCGTTTGCGAGGATCGTGACAGTACATAGGCTGTCGGCGAGTTGCTCATTCAGTGCTTCACGATTGACCGTCAGTGGTTCTGTCTACGCGATAATCAAATTAAATTCTATCAAAAGGCCACTTCAACTAGGCTCTGGACAGTTTTTTTAGTTATCATA